AGAAATTATTATTTCGTATTAATAATTATTGAGATACAACTTTAAGAAGTGAGCTGCTTAAAATAATATTTTAGTTAATAATATAATTTTTAATAAACTGAGAAAAAAATGTTGTTGATTCAATAAACGTCGACGTCACAAGCTGCCAGAAACACATTTTTGTTTACACGTATGCAGTATAAACAAATGCATGACATCTCGATTTGATTAATTATGTCATTGAATTAACATAATACGGATGAATCAACTGGCATATTTTTGTGGCAGCCCGTGACGTCGACGTTCAATTGAATCAACATTTTTTTCTCTGTGTACAATCACTCAACTTTTCTGCGAATTACAATGATATCTGAATATGAAAAACGTTAATCTTTAATTATCTTCATAATAATAAGCATTGTATCTACACAATCGAGAAACATATGTCACATTTTCTAAAACTTAAACAGGTAAGAAAGTCAGTATAAAAAGTCATTTTTAGTAAATATGACGTAAAATTGACATTATTTTGACTTTTTTGTTTTTCTTGAGAAGTTTTATAATACAAAGGAACTACACACAAATAAAAGTAGAAATAAATTAGCACTAATATAAAATAATAAATACATATTTTTAGTATTGTCTAACATGTCAATTTTCTACAATGCTAATACATGTCTGGCGGTTTTATGTTTTATAATAAAATCATGTTCTCTTCTTATAATCGTTGCGCTGTTCAATTATTTATAGAATTGTCGTTGTAATTAAATCTTCCGTTATTTGCATATTATTAGAACAAGAATATACAATAATGTATATATTACAATACTTTCTCTTACGCTCTGATCCGGTGCCGTGGGACAATAAATGATTTTCAAAAATGGTTTTAAAATAGAAAGTCTTTCCACAGAAATGGCATTTATAATTTTTCGGCAGTCCAGTTGGATCGGAATCCATTTGTCTGGAGGGACCGGCACTTCCGTCTTGCATATCTTCGTCCTGCTTGTGACTTTCTTTTTTACCAACAAATTTATTTTGAGAATAGTATTTATAAATTTATTTGATTACTGTGCTTTCCGGCGAGTATATTGCAACACTCTAAAGCAATTATGGTCAGTTGTTTAATCGTGGTTAACATGAAATCTAAAATTAAAAAGTAAGATACAATTATATATGTATTATTGAACAATCTTTTTAAAGCAAAGCTTCATTACAACAATGTAATCTACAATGTTCTATTAATTATTATTAAATAATAAATTTATAAAAATTGAACATAAAATAAGATGATATGCTATCAAAGACAAACATTCATATTGTCATAATATTAAATTTACTGATTATTTTCGTTATTTGATAAATTTTTCACATATGTAATTACATATTTATAATATAATTTTATAAATAATAATTATACATATTACACATAGCAATAATTTTCAAAGTTATAGGTGTTTATGTTTTATAAAAACAATTATATTGTAAAAAAAATGTATTCCTTATTTATTAGAAAAAAAATGTTTTGATGAAATAAAAATAAAATTTGCTGGTAGGTATAAACTTTTAAAAACGGCACCTCGCACCTGCTTTTTCATTATACTTATAATAAGAAGACTATTAAAATGTTAAATTAATTAATAATATTAAATAATTGTAATCGAGAAAAAGGAAATTAATGTCAAAATGATATAAATATAAAAATAAACTTTTTGATTTTATATATCAATTGCTGAGTTAAAAATTATGATTCATATATTAGTAGAAAAAAGAAAGAAACAAAAATAGTGATACAAAAATCATTTGTTATCAGAACAGACACAGATGAATGTTATAAGTAAAAATTAGTTAAATTAATAAAAGACCAATTCACAATATAATTGTTATCACGTAGAAATTAATGATGAATCAATACCAAATTACATTTAAACGTTAGCATAGTAATGGCATGTTAACATATAAAAATACTAAATAATTCGATTATTTTAAAGATACATATTTATATTATTGTAGTGAAAGTTACAATTCTCAAAGGAATTCTTCTTTTCTTGAATAATGTGATCGAAAAACGTCTTTATCTACCGATAATTCTACCTTTTAATGTATTATTCACAATATAATAAATAATCATGAAAATAATGGAAAACATTATGTATTATGTAAAAAATTTCCTTTTTAAATATAAAAATTTTAGTTTATCGATCTGAGTCACTTTTTAAAAAAAAGAAATTTTAAATGTTGTATTTATAAAGAAAAGAAATAGAACTAATATCTACAATATTTATTAAAAAAATAAACAGAAAGCAAAAAATGACGAGAAACCGTTTATAATCATGTATCTCTATTCATCTGCTTTATTATTTGAAATTATATATCTATTAAAAAACTCATTTATGAACAAACAAATACAGACGTAAAGAAAATAAATTCTTAATCTTATTAATTTTAATACACTAATATATTATAATTACTGATTTTTATATTACTAGACATTTTTTATATATATATTTATGTCACTAACACATGACAATGCAAGATATACTTCAAAACAATTAAGACTTCGAAGATATAATAATGTAAATATAAATTTAACGTATAAGACGGGCAACAAGAGCCAAATCGCGGATGACAATGCGTTATCCTAACGAAACTACATATAAATATGATGTTTTCTAATCGGCCTAAGATAAATAATTTTTATTTATTTTATACGCATATAAATGATTCTTACTTTGACCGTAAACGTACATACGTGGAAGTTTTTCCGTGCCTATTCCGCTTTTCCTAGATTTATTTCGAAAGTTTATTTTATGTATCAATTAATTAAATCAAAATTCATATATTTCCAACAAAAATAAACTACGATATTTTATACTGCTAAAAGCTTAATTGATTACGAAGCACAACTGAGAAACGCATTTAGAGAGGAGATAACACGGTACAAATTAATAAAATGATAAAGTCAATTTGGTTTAGAGAAGTATCTCTAACCATTTAATAAATATGTATAAACATTTCCAAATATGTTACTCACACATTGAATTGTTTTTTGTATATTTGTTATTGATACATATATTTAATAACTATAATTATTATTTTATTATCTATTAATGAATAAAGACATAATTTGCGCACTGAAATATCGAAATTTGTTATTGATACATATATTTAGTAACTATAATTATTATTTTATTATCTATTAATGAATAAAGACATAATTTGCGCACTAAAATATCGAAATTTGTTATTGATACATATATTTAATAACTATAATTATTATTTCAATATTTATTAATGAATAAAAACGTAATTTGCGCACTGAAATATCGCATGTCATGGTAACCCGAAAAGAACAGAAATGTCAAAATGATGTCAAATTCATGTCATAATATTGTCAAATTCTAGTTTGTCAAAATGACATCAAATTGTATAAAATTTTGATGATATTTTGATGTTTACAATAATAAAAAATTATTAGTTTGTATTAAAAATAATTGAGATGCAACTTTAAGAAGTGAGCCGATTAAAATAACATTTTAATCAACAATTTAATTTTTAATACAATAACTCAACTCTTCTGTGAATTACAATGATATGTGAATATGAAAAACATTATTTTTAGTTATCTTTATAATAATAAGCATTGTATATACACAGACGAGAAACGTTTAGTCACATTTTTTAAAAATCAAACAGGTAATAAGAGTCAATATTAAAAGTCATTTTTTAATCATCTTCCAAATCGAGATTTCCATGACCAAAAAATGACATAAATTGAATCAATATGACGTCAAATTGACATTATTTTGACTTTTCTGTTCTTATTGAGAAGTTTTATAATACAAAGAAACTACACACAAAAAAGTGAAAAAACTTAGCATTAATATAAAAGAATGAATACATATTTTTAGTATTACCTAAAATGTCAATTTTCTACAACGCTAATACATGTCTAGCGGTTTCATGTTTTATATTAAAATAATAAAATCACGTTCTTTTTTATAATAGCTGCGCTGTTCAATTATTGAAAGAATTGTCGTAATTAAATCTTCTGTCATTTGCATATTATTAGAACAAAAATATTACAACCAAATAATAATGTATATTACAAAAATCACTCATTTAGTAACCAATTTTACATAGAAAATTAAAGTTTAACGGATAATATGAAATATAAATTAAAAATTTCTTCTATGCGAGAATTATATTCGTTAATTATAATTATTAAATTTATAATGTTAATAATTAAATTGTTTAATTATTGGTTGTCAGAAAGTAATAATTATAATTATGTCGTATGTGTACGTTTGTACATACCCAGATAGCCACAGTAATTATTATGACATCAAAATGATGTCATACTAATTACTGTGGCTAACTGGGTATGTATGTGTACGTCTGCACATGTATCTGTACGTACAATTGTCTAATTAATACGATATATAATTGTTAATAATACCAAAAAACGATAGTGTAATTTCATTTTCAATAATCATTAATATTGCATGAATTATAAATCAATAATTACTAATTAACAGATTAATTATTGATACAACAACAAAATAATGATTAATAATATAATAATTACATTATAATAACTTAATGTTATTAAAGATTATCTTTATCTAAAACAGAAAAAACAAGTTAATAATGTTATTAATGTTGATTTATGAGCGAGCAAAATTTTCTATGTGACAAAATTTTCTTGTATAATTTTACGTTTCTATATTTAAAATTATCTTCTTTATGTATCTCATAATTAACGATATCTTATATTCAAAGTATGTTATTTAAATATATATAGATATATATTTAAACAAATCATATTTAAATTGCAGGATAGACGTTAATGAGATACATTCAAAAATAAAAAAGACGATTTTAAGTATTGAAAAGTAAAAATTGTAGACATATATAGTTATATTTATATATAAATAAATATAAATTTATATATAAATATAAATTTTAAATATATATATATATATATATATATATATATATATGTTTGTCTATCTACATCCATATATTTTTGAAGTTGCATTATGCGATTACATTAAATTATTAGTAAAAGAATAATTTTTGATTTTTACTTATTGAAGAAGATTTAAATTAATCGGAATTCATTTCAAATCAAACTGGTCTTTTACATTTAAATATGGCTTGGATTTGATAGAATCGAGTAGGTAAATTTCGAAATTTTTATCATGTTGGAAATTTTTGTTGCACCAAAATTTAAACGGTTTTATCTTGGCGATATTTTCTTCGTTTTGACATTTGTATCTGTACCATTGGTCGAGCTTACTGAAATCCGTGTCGCAATTTTACATTTCAATTTCCTGTCATATTGGTGCTGTGCAAAATGCTTTAGCAATGTATACTTTGCTGTTGAACTTCTTCGCCTTCGACCAACTCGATTCTATTTGTCAATGCTTGCGGCTTTTGCGCGTCAATTTTAAGATTAGAGACTTTAAATATTCTTTATTAGAAGTTCGGGATCTTCATATTTATATCGGATGAAGAGGAGTATTGCAAGAGGCCCGAAACAGATTTGAAAGATTCGTCGCCTTCTTGTTGTGCTACATAAATATTTTGTCTGGAGCTGTCATCGCGCTGCTGATTATCCTTGGATTGTTCAATAGGTTCAACGTCTTCAATTTTGTTCTCCTCAATCTGGTGTGCAGTCCAGTATAAAATCAAGATGTTGAGATAAGTCTTCGTCACGGCCAGGCAGGATCGAGTTCCTCTTCTTTTTCAATTATCACATTGTTACGTTTCTCTTCTGCTTCAATTATCACATTGTTACGTTCCTTTTCTCTTTTAATTATCACATTGTTACGTTTTTCTTTTTCTTCAATTATCACATTGTTACGTTCCTTTTCTCTTTCAATTATCATTTAGAACCGGAATACTTCTGTCTGGAAGGACCGGCATCTCCGTCTCGCATTTCCTTTTCTTTCTTATGCTCTTTCTTTTCGTGCTGTGAAAGCAATCGTAAATCCGCAAAAGATTTCGTGCAAAAATCACATTTCCATCGACCAACAGTGTGCGACGAACGCGTATGTGCACTGAAATGGGATTTACAAATGAATGTTAGGTCGCAATTGTAGCAAGGATAATTCTGATTAAATTTGTGGACCTCTAAATGATTATGAAGCACGTCGAAAGAACAGAATAGTCTTAACCTGAGATGGCATACATACTTGTCTGGTTGTCCAGTTAGATCGGAATCCATTTGTCTGGAGGAATCGACACCTTCAGCTTGCATATTATCTCCAGTTGAACCTGAATCCATTTGTCTGGAGGGATCGGCACCTTTCTCTTGCTCATTATCTAAAAAAATTATTATTTTGTATTAAAAATAATAGAGATGCAACTTTAAGAAGTGAACTGCTTTAAATAATGTTTTAATCAACAATTTAATTTTTCAAAAGTTACTCAACTCTTCTGCGAACTACAATAATATCTGAATATAAAAAACGATAACCTTAAATTATTCTCATAATAATATGCATTGCATCTACACAGTCGATAAACGTACGTCACATTTTCTAAAATTTAAACAGGTAAGGAAGCCAGTATAAAAAGTCATTTTTTAGTCATCTTCGAGATCGAGATTTTCATGACTAAAAAAATGACATAAATATAGTCAATATGACATAAAATTGATGTCATTTTGACTTTTTTGTTATTCTTGGGAAGTTTTATAACACAAAGGAATTACACACAGATAAAAGTAAAAAAACTTAGCATTAATATAAAAGAATGAATACATATTTTTAGTATTGTCTAACATGTCAATTTTCTACAATGCTAATACATGTCTAGCGGTTTTAAGTTTTATAATAAAATCATGTTCTCTTTTTATAATCGCTGCGTTGTTCAATTATTTGAAGAATTGTAATTAAATGTTCCGTTATTTGCATATTATTAGAACAAAAATATATAATAATGTATATATTACAAAAACCTCATTTTGTAACTAATTTTACACAGAAAATTAAAGTTGCCGAGACAAACCTTTTAAGTCCGCTTCAGAGTGATCCCATTCGAGCCTCTTTCTCTTACGCTCCAACCCGCAATCCTGTTTCGGTTTAGAAGCTTCTTTGCCATTATTATGAACTGTCCTTTTGTGCCTTTTAAGGATGTAAAATTTTGCAAATAATTTCCCGCATTTATCACACTTGTAAAGCTTATTATCTAAAAAAATTATTATTTTGTATTAAAAATAATATAGATGCAAATTTAAGAAGTAAGCTGCTTTAAATAATATTTTAATCAAGAATTTAATTTTTAAAAAATTACTCAACTCTTTAGCGAACTACAATAATATATCTGAATATAACAAACGATAATTTTAAAATATCTTCATAATAATATGCATTGCATTTACACAGTCGAGAAACGTACGTCACATTTTCTAAAATTTAAACAAGTAAGGAAGCCAGTATAAAAAAATCATTTTTTAGTCATCTTCGAGATCGAGATTTTCATGACTAAAAAAATGACATAAATATAGTCAATATGACATAAAATTGATATCATTTTGACTGTTTTGTTCTTCTTGGAAAGTTTTATAATATAAAGGAATTACACCCAAATAAAAGTGAAAAAAAACTTAGCATTAATATAAAAGAATGAATACATATTTTTAGTATTGTTTAACATGTCAATTTTCTACAATGCTAATACATGTAGCGGTTTTATGTTTTATAATAAAATCATGTTCTCTTCCTATAATCGCTGCGCTGTACAATTATTTAAAGAATTGTCGTTGTAATTAAATCTTTCGTCATTTGCATATTATTAGAACAAGAATATATAATAATGTATATATTACAAACATCACTCATTTTGTAGCCAATTTTACACAGAAAATTAAAGTTGCCGAGACAAACCTTTTGAGTCCGCGTCAAAGTTGTCGCCTCCGAACCTTTTATTACTCAACAAGTACTTTTCTCTCTCTTTTTTTATAGAGATTCCTTTGCTTACGCGTTCGAGATCCCTTTGCTTACGCTTCAACTCGTACTTCTGTTCCTCCACTGTTACGGATTCTTTGCTTACACTATGGTGTTTTTTTTGTGCCATTCAAGGTCGAAGAGATCATAAAAAGTTGAATTGCATATATCACACTTGAAATGATTAAAATTACGTGTCGAACGCGTATGTGCATTGAAATGGGATTTACAAATGAATATTATAGGTCGCAATGGTTGCAAAGATAATTCATGTGGATCTTTAAATGATTATGAAGCACGTCCAAAGAACAGAATAGTCTTAACCAGAGATTGCATACATACTTGTCCGGCTGTTCAGTTGGATCGGAATCCCTTTGTCTGGAAGAACCGACACTTTCGCATTGCATATTATCTCCAATTGAACCGGAAGCCATTTGTCTGGAGGGACCGGGACGTTCCTCTTGCTCATTATCTAAAAAAATTATTATTTTGTATTAAAAATAATTGAGATACAACTTTAAAACGTGAGCTGCTTAAAATAATATTTTAGTCAACAATATAATTTTTAATACACTAAGAAAAAAATGTTATTGTAACAATTGAACGTGGCCGTCACGGGCTGCCAAAAACTTATTTTTGTTTAAACATATGCAGTATGAACAAATGCATGACATCTCGATTTGATTAATTATGTCATTGAATTAACAAATTATTATTGATAAATCAACTGCATATGTTTGTGGCAGCTTGTGACGTCGACGTTCAATTGAATCAACAACATTTTTTCTCTGTGTACGATCACTCAACTCTTCTGCGAACTACAATGATATCTGAATATGAAAAACGTTAATCTTTAATTATCTTCATAATAATAAGCATTGTATCTACACAATCGAGAAACGTATGTCACGTTTTCTAAAACTTAAACAGGTAAGAAAGTCAGTATAAAAAGTCATTTTTAGTAAATATGACGTAAAATTGACATTATTTTGATTTTTTTGTTCTTCTTGGAAAGTTTTATAATACAAAGGAACTACACACAAATAAAAGTAAAGAAAACTTAGCAATAATATAAAAGAATGAATAGATATTTTTAATATTGTCTCAAATGTCAATTTTATACAATGCTAATACATGTCTAGCGTTTATGTTTTATAATAAAATCATGTTCTCTTCCTATAATCACTGCGCTGTTCAATTATTTAAAAAATTGTCGTTGTAATTATATCTTCTGTCATTTGCATATTATTAGAACAAGAATATATAATAATGTATATATTACAAAAACAACTCATTTTCTAGCCAATTTTACACTAAAAATTAAAGTTGCCGAAACAAACCTTTTGAGTCCGCGTCAGAATTGTCGCATTTCTTCCTCTTACTTTTCTGTTTTGTTTTAGAATCTTCCTTGTTATTATTATGATATTTTTTTTCGTGCCATACAAGGGATTTAAAATGTGCGAAAACTTTTCCGCATTTTTTACACTTTATAGGAACATCCGGATGTACCGAATTCCAATGTTTACGCAAAAGTGACTTAGAAATAAATTTTAATTCGCAAGCGTAGCAAGGATGATTCTCTAAGCTGTGGTAATATAAATGATTGCAAAGGATTTCCGAAGAATCGAATGTCTGTGCACAGAAATCGCATGTATACGTTTCCGGCTGTCCAGTTGGATTGGAATCTCTTTGTCTAGAAGAACCGACACCTTCGCCTTGCATATTATCTCCAGTTGAACCGGAAGCCATTTGCCTGGAGGGGTCGGAACGTTCCTCTGGCATATCATCTAAAGAAATTATTATTTCGTATTAATAATAATTGAGATACAACTTTAAGAAGTGAGCTGCTTAAAATAATATTTTAGTTAATAATATAATTTTTAATAAACTGAGAAAAAAATGTTGTTGATTCAATAAACGTCGACGTCACAAGCTGCCAAAAACACATTTTTGTTTACACGTATGCAGTATAAACAAATGCATGACATCTCGATTTGATTAATTATGTCATTGAATTAACATAATACGGATGAATCAACTGGCATATTTTTGTGGCAGCCCGTGACGTCGACGTTCAATTGAATCAACATTTTTTTCTCTGTGTACAATCACTCAACTTTTCTGCGAATTACAATGATATCTGAATATGAAAAACGTTAATCTTTAATTATCTTCATAATAATAAGCATTGTATCTACACAATCGAGAAACATATGTCACATTTTCTAAAACTTAAACAGGTAAGAAAGTCAGTATAAAAAGTCATTTTTAGTAAATATGACGTAAAATTGACATTATTTTGACTTTTTTGTTTTTCTTGAGAAGTTTTATAATACAAAGGAACTACACACAAATAAAAGTAGAAATAAATTAGCACTAATATAAAATAATGAATACATATTTTTAGTATTGTCTAACATGTCAATTTTCTACAATGCTAATACATGTCTGGCGGTTTTATGTTTTATAATAAAATCATGTTCTCTTCTTATAATCGTTGCGCTGTTCAATTATTTATAGAATTGTCGTTGTAATTAAATCTTCCGTTATTTGCATATTATTAGAACAAGAATATACAATAATGTATATATTACAATACTTTCTCTTACGCTCTGATCCGGTGCCGTGGGACAATAAATGAATTTCAAAAATGCCTTTATAATAGAATGTCTTTCCACAGAGATGGCATTTATAATTTGTCGGCAGTCCAGTTGGATCGGAATCCATTTGTCTGGAGGGATCGGCACCTCCGTCCTGCTTGTGACTTTCTTTTTTACCAACAAATTTATTTTGAGAATAGTATTTATAAATTTATTTGATTACTGTGCTTTCCGGCGAGTATATTGCAACACTCTAGAGCAATTATGTTCAGTTGTTTAATCGTGGTTAACCTGAAATCTAAAATAAAAAAGTAAGATACAATTATATATGTATTATTGAACAATCTTTTTAATGCAAAGCTTCATTACAACAATGTAATGTATGACGTTGTATCAATTATTATTAAATAATAAATATTATACAAATTGAACATAAAATAAGATAATATGCTATCAAAGACAAACATTCATATTGTCATAATATTAAATTTACTGTTTATTTTCGTTATTTGATAAATTTTTCACATATACAATTATACATTTAGAATAAATTTTTATGAATAATAGTTATACGTATTACACATAGAAATAATTTTCAAAGATATAGGTGTTTATGTTTTATAAAAACAATTATATTGTAAAAAAATGTATTTCTTATTTATTAAAAAAAAAATGTTTTGATGAAATAAATATAAAATTTGCTGCTAGGTAAACTTTTAAAAACGGCACCTCGCACCTCCTTTTTCATTATTTCTTATAAAAAAAAGACTATTAAAATGCCAAAATAATTAATAATATTAAATAATTGTAATCGAAAAAGAGGAATTTAATAATGCCAAAATAATATAAATATAAAAGTAAACTTTTTGATTTTATATATCAATTACTGAGTTAAAAATTAAGATTCATATATTAGTAGAAAAAAGAAAGAAACAAAAATAGTGATACAAAAATCATTTGTTATCAGAACAGACACAGATGAATGTTATAAGTAAAAATTAGTTAAATAAATAAAAGACCAATTTACAATATAATTGTTATCACGTAGAAATTAGTGATGAATCAATATCAAATTACATTTGAACGTTAGCTTAGTAATGGCTTGTTAACATATAAAAATACTAAATAATTTGATTAATTTAGAAATACATATTTATATTAATGAAGTTAAAAACGGGACAGAAAAACAAATAAATCGTCAAACTAGTCATGTTTGAGAATTTAAAAAACATAATTTTAATAATTTATAATAAGTATTTAAGTAGTAAACTACATATATGTTTTACTTTCTCTAAATACTAAAGTTAAAATTCTTAAAGGAATTTTTCTTTTGTTGAATAATGTGGTCGAATAACGTTTTTATCTACCGGCATCTTTTAATGTATTATTTACAATATAATAAATAATCATAAAATTAATGGAAAACATTATGTATTATGTAAAATATTTTCGTTCTAAATATAAAAATTTCAGTTTATCGATCTGAGTCTCTTTTTGAAATAAAAGAAATTTTTAATTGTTGTATTTATAAAGAAAAGAAATAGAACAAATATTTATTTATTATAAATATAAACAAAAAGCAAAAAATGACGAAAAACCGTTTATAATCATGTATCTTTACTCATGTACTTTATTATTTGAAATTATATATCTATTAAAAGACTCATTTATATGAACAAACAAATACAGGCGTAGAGAAAATCAAATTCTTAATCTTGTGAATTTTAATACACTAATATATTATAATTACTGATTTTTATATCACTAGAAATTCTTTATATATATATATGTCACTAACACATGATAATGCAAGATATACTTCAAAACAATTAAGACCTCGAAGATATAATAATGTTTTCGACCTATTTGTTTGTTTATATCTTTCTAATAATTTTTAAATTATTTTTAGAAGAATTTACGGTTATTCCTTGATCAGCTATTTACTATTTTTATTTAACAAATTATTCAGCGATATTTGATATTGTCAATTTTCAAAGATTATAAAATATTAAACAGAATATTGTCGCATTATATGTATTATTTTCTTGATAAAATTTAAGACAAAGTGTACTTTTTACTTTATTGTTTTAATCAAAATTGTGGAAAAATTTTAAAAATATTACAATATATATATATATTAAATATAGCAAAAAATATATGCAATACATATAGATTCCACATAATTTATCTATTCTTACATTCTTTTATATATATATAAATCTGTGTCTTATTTGTACGTACCTGCTGATTTTTTGTTCGTATAACTCGTTTAACTCTAGATTTTCCTTGTTACCTCTTTTACTTGAAGAATTTATTCGAATGTGTTTAGATTTTGCTGTTTTGAATCAGAAATGTGCACAGATACTTATTGTTAAAAGATAATCGTGACAAGAATTTATTTTGTAATTCCTATTAATCTCGTTTCTTTTTAACGGAACGACGTTAAAGCGTGTATGTATAATCGCCTTTGATTTTACTAATACGAACTTTACTGGTCTGTACTGTGTATAAATTTAATATATGTCTATCGGGACGTATTCCCAAATAAACATTAAATACTGTTTATATATATGTGTGTGTTTTCATGAGAGTTACTTCGCAGCAGCCGGGCCAGTTTATAAATTTGAATGTCTTATGATTAGCCAGCAATAATTATATCTCTTCTATCAAAAGGAGAGATTGTAAAAATTGTTCTTACGTTAAAATTGTTCTTACGTTAAAATTGCTTGTCAGAATTAATCATACAATATCAGTTTTAATTCATAATTAATATAAAAACGATAGTTGCATATATAGTCGGTAATGAAAGATGCACATTTTAACGCGCATAGAACATCGAAATACGACAATATTTTCAGTACCTGCTCTTATCTGAATTGTAAGCGTAAATCATGAGTAAGACTGTATTTTGAACAAAAATAGTTATTGAGATTTGTCGTGCACGCGTAGAAAATTGTTTCTTTGTCGGGAAACTTTCGAAATATATGTATATATTGCACATATGGATTTTTTCATTAAAATTGAATAAACGTTGTAAATGTATAATGACCTAATTATATATTATTTATACAAACACAAGGTTCTCCAGGGAAAAAGTCATGATAAGAAATGACAAAATATCAATTATCGATTTATAATACGATATAAAGATAGCCAAAAATATTTTATTTCAATATTTAAATAGTACATTATCTGCAAATTAATTTTAAATAAAAACATACCAACTTACATATTCTTCCGTTTAATATACATAATAACAAAAAGTGTCGTCTACGAAAACATAACGTCGACTATTAATACTTTAGAATCAGGCAAAAATACATTGTTTATATATATTTTAATAATGCAAAAATTAAAAAACATGACAAAATGTAAGTTATAGCAGTAAATTATATGATTATAAGAAATATTTAATTATGGCCGCAAGTGATTAAAACATAATAAAATGAACAGCGCGTATTTTAATAATTCGATATACATTAATGAAATCGTCATAGGTTTGAAAATAAGAAAGACTAAAAAGAATCATATACTAAAGTTTTATTATCTAAATGAAAACTGCAAGATTTCGAAAAATTAATTATCCCATCTTAGTACTAAAACTTATAAAGAGTAAGAGAACGCGTCCAAAAATATGAGAAAACACGAATCAAATAATCATCTGTTCGATAATAAACATTGTTTAAGAAGAATTGTCAATATCTAATAGCATGTAAATCACGACAGTAAAATATAAAAAATTAAATAAACCTGAATAGAAAATGGAACAACGCGTTTAAAAATAATTCTGCTGTTACTACTCAGAAAATTTCGCATGGATATGTTAATAAATACAACTGTTATAATTTATTTTAAAATTCTAATTAATATCACACACTGATCAAAATGATGTTACAGCATAATCGACACGGAATCTGTGCTATCTGTGGTGGATGAATATATTAATTGGTAAAAGTAAAAATGTTTGAAGTGCATCTGCAGCAGATAGAGGATATTCTCTTATTCTTTACATACAAGTAGCTGCATCTATTCTCCGTCATTTTCGATTTAATTAATAATGTTGTACTTTCGATATTTATCTACTCTGATTTATATTTCGAAAATACATCGTGCTTTCAAAACTTTTATTTTTTTTAAAACATTTCGGTTTAATATTCTGTTGAATAACTTTTTAGCAATTTCAGTAACGCTCTTACCTGAATCGTGTGTGGAAATCATGCAGCGATATTTTGAACATAAATTATTTTTCAGAAATAAATATTTTTATCGGCTCTGAATATAAACAATATAAATATGATGTTTTCTAATCGGCTTAAGATAAATAATTTTTATTTATTTTATACGCATATAAATGATTTTTACTTTGACCGTAAACGTACATACGTGGGTGTTTTTCCGTGCCTATTCCGCTTTTCCTAGATTTATTTCGAAAGTTTATTTTATGTATCAATTAATTAAATCAAAATTCATATATTTCCAACAAAAAATAAACTACGATCTTTTATACTGCTAAAAGCTTAATTGATTACGAAGCACAACTGAGAAACGCATTTAGAGAGGAGATAACACGGTACAAATTAATAAAATGAGTGTAATAAAATAAAAGTATCTCTAACCATTTAATAAATATGTATAATCATTTCCAAATATGTTACTCAGAAATTGGATTGTTTTTTGTATATTTGTTATTGATACATATATTTAATAACTATAATTATTATTTTATTATCTATTAATGAATAAAGACATAATTTGCGCACTAAAATATTGAAATTTGTTATTGACACATATATTTAGTAACTATAATTATTATTTCTAATGAATTAATACTTAAAATTTGTTATTGATACATATATTTAATAACTATAATTATTATTTCAATATTTATTAATAATAAAAACATAATTTGCGCACTGAAATATCGCATGTCATGGTAACCCGAAAAGAACAGAAATGTCAAAATGATGTCAAATTCATGTCAAAATATTGTCAAATTCTAGTTTGTCAAAATGACATCAAATTGTATAAAATTTTGATGATATTTTGATGTTCACAATAATAAAAAATTATTAGTTTGTATTAAAAATAATTGAGATGCAACTTTAAAAAGTGAGCCGATTAAAATAACATTTTAGTCAACAATTTAATTTTTAATACAATAACTCAACTCTTCTGCGAATTACAATGATATGTGAATATGAAAAACATTATCTTTAATTATCTTCATAATAATAAGCATTGTATATACACAGAGAAGAAACGTTAGTCACATTTTTTAAAAATCAAACAGGTAATAAGAGTCAATATTAAAAGTCATTTCTTAGTCATCTTCCAAATCGAGATTTCCATGACCAAAAAATGACATAAATTTAATCAATATGACGTCAAATTGACATTATTTTGACTTTTCTGTTTTTCTTAGGAAGTTTTATAATACAAAGAAACTACACACAAAAAAGTGAAAAAAACTTAGCATTAATATAAAAGAATGAATACATATTTTTAGTATTACCTAAAATGTCAATTTTCTACAACGCTAATACATGTCTAGCGGTTTCATGTTTTATATTAAAATAATAAAATCACGTTCTTTTTTATAATAGCTGCGCTGTTCAATTATTGAAAGAATTGTTGTAATTAAATCTTTCGTCATTTGCATATTATTAGAACAAAAATATTACAACCAAATAATAATGTATATTACAAAAATCACTCATTTAGTAACCAATTTTACATAGAAAATTAAAGTTTAACGGATAATATGAAATATAAATTAAAAATTTCTTCTATGCGAGAATTATACTCGTAAATTATAATTATTAAATATATAATGTTAATAATTAAATTGTTTAATTATTGGTTGTCAGAAAGTAATAATTATAATTATGTCGTATGTGTACGTTTGTACATACCCAAATAGCCACAGTAATTATTATGACATTAAAATGATGTCATACTAATTACTGTCGCTAACTGGGTATGTATGTGTACGTCTGCACATGTATCTGTACGTACAATTGTCTAATTAATACGATTTATAATTGTTAATAATACCAATTTTATATACATAAACGATAGTGTAATTTCATTTATAATAATCATTAATATTGCATAAATTATAAATCAATAATTACTAATTAACAGATTAATTATTGATACAACAACAAAATAATGATTAATAATATAATAATTACATTATAATAACTTAATATTATTAAAGATTATCTTTATCTAAAACAGAGAAAACAAGTTAATAATGTTATTAATGTTGATTTATGAGCGAGCAAAATTTTCTATGTGACAAAATTTTACTGTATAATTTTACGTTTCTATATTTAAAATTATCATCTTTATGTATTTCATAATTAACGATATCCTATATTTAAAGTATGTTATTTAAATATATATAGATTTATATTTAAACAAATCATATTTAAATTGCAGGATAGACGTTAATGAGATACATTCAAAAATAAAAAAAACGATTTTAAGTATTGAAAAGTAAAAATTGTAGATATATATAGTTATATTTATATATAAATAAATATAAATTTATATATAAATATAAATTTTAAATATATATATGTATATCTACATCCATATATTTCTCAAGTTGCTTTATGCGATTACATTAAATTATTAGTTGAAGAATAATTTTTGATTTTTATTTATTGAAGAAGATTTAAATTAATCGGAATTCATTTCAAATCAAACTGGTCTTTTACATTTAAATATGGCTTGGATTTGATAGAATCGAGTAGGTGAATTTCGAAATTTTTATCATGTTTGAAATTTGTGTTGCACCAAAATTAAAACGGCTCTATACTTTGGCGATATTTTCTTCGTTTTGACATTTGTATCTGTACTGTTGGTCGAGCTGAAATCCGTGTCGCAATTTTACATTTCAATTTCCTGTCATATTGGTGCTGTGCAAAATGCTTTAGCGATGTATACTTTGCTGTTGAACTTCTTCGCCTTCGACCAACTAGATTCTACTTGTCAATGCTTGCGGCTTTTGCGCGTCAATTTTAAGATTAGAGACTTAAAATATTTTTTATTAGAAATTCGGGATCTTCATATTTATATCGGATGAAGAGGAGTATTGCGAGAGGCCCAAAACAGATCCGAAAGATTCGTCGTCTTCTTGTTGTGCTACATAAATATCCTCTCTGGAGCTGTCATCGCGCTGCTGATTACCCTTGGATTGTTCAATAGGTTCAACGTCTTCAATTTTGTTCTCCTTAATCTGTCGTGCAGTCCAGTATAATAAAATCAAGATGTTGAGATAAGTCCTCGTCACGGCCAGGTAGGATCGAGTTCCTCTTCTTCTTCAATTATCACATTGTTACATTCTTATTCTGCTTCAATTATCACATTATTACGTTCTTTTTTTTTCAATTATCACATTGTTACGTTTCTTTTCTCTTTTAATTTTCATTTAAAGTTTGGAATCTCCAGGGTCGAAACAGGAGGGGATGTTCAAAAAAGTTCGGGGAGATTCGTCACTTTCTTGTTGTGGGACATTAATATCTTGTCTGGTGCTTTCATCACGTTGCTGATTTGAGAAGATGCATTTTCGTTCTACTTGTGACTTTTTGTTATTATTTCTTTGTGTTAATGACAATTCTTTTTGTGCATGTTAAGATGGTGAAGATTCTTAAAAGAATTCCCGCAAATATTACAATTCAAAGGACTACTCTTGTGTGGCTCATTGATATGATTTTTAATATCTGAATAACAAATGAATCTTAAGCCGCAAAGATTGCAGGGATATTTATCCTTTAACAATTTGTGGTACTCTAAATGATACTTAAGCACGTTCTCAGACGAGAAAGTTCTTAAACAGATATTGCATTCGACCGTTTCCGGCTGTCCAGTTGGATCAGAATCCCTTTGTCTGGAAGAACCGACACCTTCGCCTTGCATATTATCTTCAATTGAACCGGAAGCCATTTGTCTGGAGGGACCGGGACGTTCCTCTTGCTCATTATCTAAAAAAATTATTATTTTGTATTAAAAATAATTGAGATACAACTTTAAAAAGTGAGCTGCTTAAAATAATATTTTAGTCAACAATGAAATTTTTAATACACTGAAACAAAATGTTGTTGATTCAATGAACGTCGACGTCACGGGCTGCCAGAAACACATTTTTGTTTAAACATATGCAGTATAAACAAATGCGTAACATCTCGATTTGATTAATTATGTCATTGAATTAATATAATACGGATGAATCAACTGGCATATTTTTGTGGCAGCCCGTGACGTCGACGTTCAATTGAATCAACATTTTTTTTTCTGTGTACAATCACTCAACTTTTCTGCGAATTACAATGATATCTGAATATGAAAAACGTTAATCTTTAATTATCTTCATAATAATAAGCATTGTATCTACACAATCGAGAAACGTATGTCACATTTTCTAAAACTTAAACAGGTAAGAAAGTCAGTATAAAAAGTCATTTTTAGTAAATATGACGTAAAATTGACATTATTTTGACTTCTTTGTTCTTCTTGAGAAGTTTTATAATACAAAGGAACTACACACAAATAAAAATAAAGAAAACTTAGCATTAATATAAAAAAATGAAAAGATATTTCTAATATTGTCTCAAATGTGAATTTTCTACAATGCTAATACATGTCTAGCGGTTTTATGTTTTATAATACAATCATGTTCTCTTCTTATAATCGTTGCGCTATTCAATTATTTAAAGAATTGTCGTTGTAATTAAATGTTCCGTCATTTGCATATTATTAGAACAAGAATATATAATAATGTATATATTACAAAAACTACTCATTTTGTAGCCAATTTTACACAGAAAATTAAAGTTGCGGAGACAAACCTTTCGAGTCCGCGTCAGAGATTTTGGATCCGAGCTTCTTTTTCTTACGCTTTAACTCCTGTTCCTTCATTTTTAAGGATTCTAATTCGAGCCTTCTTTTATTTTGTTTCAACTGCTGTTCCTCCGTTGTTACGGATTCTTTGCCTACACTATGGTGTTTTTTTTTGTGCCATTCAAAGTCGAAGAGATCATAAAAAGTTGAATTGCATATATCACACTTGAAAAGATTAACATTACGTGTCGAACGCGTATGTGCATTGAAATGGGATTTAAAAATGAATATTATAGGTCGCAGTAGTTGCAAGGATAATTCATGTGGATCTTTAACTGATTATGAAGCACGTTTAAAGAACAGAATAGTCTTAACCAGAGATTGCATACATACTTGTCCGGCTGTTCAGTTGGATCGGAATCCCTTTGTCTAGAAGAGCCGACACTTTCGCTTTGCATATTATCTCCAGTTGAACTGGAAGCCATTTGTCTAGAGGGACCGACATCTTCGTCTGGCGTCCGTAACAGTGCACGTATCCCGAAGACGCTCAGAGAAGATGCTGAGGATGATTGAATGTTTTCTGGATATTCTCTAGATAATCTCTGAATGTTTTTCGGATGTGGTGCGCTAATAAAAATATTATCTCCAGTTGAACCGGAAGCCATTTGTCTGGAGGGACCAGGACGTTCCTCTTGCTTATCATCTAAAAAAATTATTATTTTGTATTGAAAATGATTGAGATACAATTTTAAAAAGTGAGCTGCTTAAAAAAATATTTTAGTCAACAATATAATTTTTAATAGACTGAGAAAGAAATGTTGTTGATACAATTGAACGTGGCCGTCACGGGCTGCCACAAATATGATTTTTTTTAAACATATGCAGTATAAACAAAAGCATGACATCTCGATTTGATTAATTATGTCATTGAATTAACAAAATACTGATAAATCAACTGCATATGCTTGCAGCAGCCCGTGACGTCGACGTTCAGTTGAATCAACAACATTTTTTCTCTGTGTACGATCACTCAACTCTTCTGCGAACTACAATGATATCTGAATATGAAAAACGTTAATCTTTAATTATCTTCATAATAATAAGCATTGTATCTACACAATCGAGAAACGTATGTCACGTTTTTTAAAACTTAAACAGGTAAGAAAGTCAGTATAAAAAGTCATTTTTAGTAAATATGACGTAAAATTGACATTATTTTGATTATTTTGTTCTTCTTGGAAAGTTTTATAATACAAAGAAACTACACACAAATAAAAGTAAAGAAAACTTAGCATTAATATCAAAAAATGAATAGATATTTTTAATATTGTCTCAAATGTCAATTTTCTACAATGCTAATACATGTCTAGCGGTTTTATGTTTTATAATAAAATCATGTTCTCTTATTATAATCGCTGCGCTGTTTAATTATTTAAAGAATTGTCGTTGTAATTAAATCTTCTGTCATTTGCATATTCTTAGAACAAGAATATATAATAATGTAGATATTACAAAAACAACTCATTTTCTAGCTAATTTTACACTAAAAATTAAAGTTGTCGAGACAAACCTTTTGAATCCGCGTCAGAATTGTCGCATTTCTTCTCTTTACTTTTCTGTTTCGTTTTAGTATCTTTCTTGCCATTATTATGACATCTTTTTTTGTGCTGTACAAAGTAATCAAAATGCGCGAAAAATTTTCCGCATTTATCACACTTTAAAGAACCGTCCGAATGTACCCGAATACAATGTTTACGCAATTCTGAGTAAGAAATAAATTTTAATTTGCAAACGTAGCAAGGATGATTCTCTAAGCTGTGGTAATATAAATGATTGCGAAAGATGTTCAAAGAATCGAATGTCTGTGCACAGAGATTGCATTTATACGTTTCCGGCTGTCCAGTTGGATCGGAATCCTTTTGTCTAGAAGAACCGACACCTTCGCCTTGCATATTATCTCCAATTGAACCGGAAGCCATTTGTCTGGAGGGACCGGGACGTTCCTCTTGCTCATTATCTAAAAAAATTATTATTTTGTATTAAAAATAATTGAGATACAACTTTAAAAAGTGAGCTGCTTAAAATAATATTTTAGTCAACAATGAAATTTTTAATACACTGAAACAAAATGTTGTTGATTCAATTGAACGTCGACGTCACGGGCTGCCACAAACATATTTTTGTTTAAACATATGCAGTATAAACAAAAGCATGAAATCTTGATTTGATTAATTTTGTCATTGAATTAACAAAATACTGATGAATCAACTGCATATGTTTATGGCAGCTCGTGACATCGACGTTCAATTGAATCAACAACATTTTTTCTCTGTGTACGATCACTCAACTCTTCTGCGAACTACAATGATATCTGAATATGAAAAACGTTAATCTTTAATTATCTTCATAATAATAAGCATTGTATCTACACAATCGAGAAACGTATGTCACGTTTTCTAAAACTTAAACAAGTAAGAAAGTCAGAATAAAAAGTCATTTTTAGTAAATATGACGTAAAATTGACATTATTTTGATTATTTTGTTCTTCTTGGAAAGTTTTATAATACAAAGAAACTACACACAAATAAAAGTAAAGAAAACTTAGCATTAATATAAAAGAATGAATAGATATTTTTAATATTGTCTGAAATGTCAATTTTATACAATGCTAATACATGTCTAGCGATTATGTTTTATAATAAAATCATGTTCTCTTCCTATAATCATTGCGCTGTTCAATTATTTAAAGAATTGTCGTTGTAATTATATCTTCCGTCATTTGCATATTATTAGAACAAGAATATATAATAATGTATATATTACAAAAACAACTTATTTTCTAGCTAATTTTACACTAAAAATTAAAGTTGTCGAGACAAACCTTTTGAATCCGCGTCAGAATTGTCGCATTTCTTTTCTTTACTTTTCTGTTTCGTTTTAGAATCTTTCTTGCCATTATTATGACATCTTTTTTTGTGCTGTACAAAGTAATCAAAATGCGCGAAAAATTTTCCGCATTTATCACACTTTATAGAAACATCCGAGTGTACAAAAATAAAATGTTTACGCAATTCTGAGTAAGAAATAAATTTTAATTTGCAAACGTAGCAAGGATGATTCTCTAAGCTGTGGTAATATAAATGATTGCGAAAGATGTTCAAAGAATCGAATGTCTGTGCACAGAGATTGCATTTATACGTTTCCGGCTGTCCAGTTGGATTGGAATCCCTTTGTCTGGAAGAACCGACACTTTCGCTTTGCATATTATCTCCAGTTGAACCGGAAGCCATTTGTCTGGAGGGACCGACATTTTCGTCTGGCGTCCGTAACAGTGCACGTATCCCGAAGACGCTCAGAGAAGATGCTGAGGATGATTGAATGTTTTCTGGATATTCTCTGGATAATCTCTGAATGTTTTTCGGATGTGGTGTGCTAATAAAGATATTATCTCCAGTTGAACCGGAAGCCATTTGTCTGGAAGAACCGGGACGTTCCTCTTGCTTATCATCTAAAAAAATTATTATTTTGTATTAAAAAAAATTGAGATACAACTTTAAGAAGTGAGCTGCTTAAAATAATATTTTAGTCAACAATATAATTTTTAATAGACTGAGAAAGAAATGTTGTTGATACAATTGAACGTCGACGTCACGAGCTGCCACAAACATATTTTTGTTTAAACATATGCAGTATAAACAAAAGCATGACATCTCGATTTGATTAATTATGTCCTTGAATTAACAAATTATTATTGATAAATCAACTGCATATGCTTGCGGCAGCCCGTGACGTCGACGTTCAGTTGAATCAACAACATTTTTTCTCTGTGTACGATCACTCAACTCTTCTGCGAACTACAATGATATCTGAATATGAAAAACGTTAATCTTTAATTATCTTCATAATAATAAGCATTGTATCTACACAATCGAGAAACGTATGTCACGTTTTCTAAAACTTAAACAGATAAGAAAGTCAGTATAAAAAGTCATTTTTAGTAAATATGACGTAAAATTGACATTATTTTGATTTTATTGTTCTTCTTGAGAAGTTTTATAATACAAGAGAACTACACACAAATAAAAGTAAAAATAAATTAGCACTAATATAAAATAATGAATACATATTTTTAGTATTGTCTAACATGTCAATTTTCTACAATGCTAATACATGTCTGGCGGTTTTATGTTTTATAATAAAATCATGTTCTCTTCCTATAATCGCTGCGCTGTTCAATTATTTAAAGAATTGTCGTTGTAATTAAATCTTTCGTCATTTGCATATTATTAGAACAAGAATATATAATAATGTATATATTACAAAAACCACTCATTTTGTAGCCAATTTTACACAGAAAATTAAAGTTGCTGAAACAAACCTTCCGAGTCCGCGTCAGAGTTGTCCCATTCGTGCCTCTTTCTCTTACCCTCCGACCCGCAATCGTGTTTCGGTTTAGAAGCTTTCTTGTCATCATAATGACATATTTTTTTGTGGTTTTCAAAAAAGTTTGAATCTACAAAAACTTTGTCGCATTTATTACACTTGAAACAAACATTCTTGTGATACTTTTCTACATGTTGATGCTTATCCGACACAGAAATGAATTTTAAGTTGCAATGGCAGCAAGGATAATTATATCCGGTGTCGTGTAACTTTAAATGATCGGAATAGTAGATCTCAGAAGTGAATGTCTTTCCACAGAGATGGCATTCATACGTTTCCGGCTGTCCAGTTGGATCGGAATCCATTTGTCTGGAGGGATCGGCACTTCTGTCTTGCATATCTTCGTCCTGCTTGTGACTTTCTTTTTTACCAACAAATTTATTTTGAGAATAGTATTTATAAATTTATTTGATTACTGTGTATTTCGGCGAGTATATTGCAACACTCTAGCGCAGTTATGGTCAGTTATTTAATCGTGGTTAACCTGAAATCTAAAATTAAAAAGTAAGATATAACTATATATGTGTATTATTGAACAATCTTTTTAATGCAAAGCTTCATTACAACAATGTAATGTACGACGTTGTATCAATTATTATTAAATAATAAATATTATAAAAATTGAACATAAAATATAATGATATAGCTATCAAAGACAAACATACATATTGTCATAATATTAAATTTACTGTTTATTTTTGTTATTTGATCAATTTTTCACGTATACAATTATACATTTAAAATAAATTTTTATGAATAATAGTTATACGTATAACACATAGAAATAATTTTCAAAAATATAGGTGTTTATGTTTTATAAAAACAATTATATTGTAGAAAAATGTATTTCTTATCTATTAGGAAAAAAAAAATGTTTTGATGAAATGAATATAAAATTTGCTGCTAAGTAAATTTTTGAAAACGGTACCTCGCACCTGCTTTTTCATTATTTCTTATAAAAAAGAGACTATTAAAATGCCAAAATAATTAATAATATTAAATAATTGTAATCGAGAAGAAGGAATTTAATAATGCCAAAATGATATAAATATAAAAGTAAACTTTTTGATTCTATATATCAATTGCTGAGTTAAAAATTATGATTCATATATTAATAGAAAAAAAAAGAAACAAAAATAGTGATACAAAAATCATTTGTTATCAGAACAGACACAGATGAATGTTATAAGTAAAAATTAGTTGAATTAATAAAAGACCAATTTACAATATAATTGTTATCACGTAGAAATTAGTGATGAATCAATATCAAATTACATTTGAACGTTAGCTTAGTAATGGCCTGTTAACATATAAAAATACTAAATAATTTGATTAATTTAGAAATACATATTTATATTAATGTAGTGAAAGACGGGACAGAAAAACAAATAAATCGTCAAACTAGTCATGTTTGAGAATTTAAAAAACATAATTTTAATGATTTATGTGATACAAATAAGTATTCAAGTAGTAAACTACATATATGTTCTACTTTCTCTAAATACTAAAGTTAAAATTCTTAAAGGAATTTTTCTTTTGTTGAATAATGTGGTCGAATAACGTTTTTATCTACCAGCATCTTTTAATGTATTATTTACAATATAATAAATAATCATAAAATTAATGGAAAACATTATGTATTATGTAAAATATTTTCGTTCTAAATATAAAAATTTCAGTTTATTGATCTGAGTTTCTTTTTGAAATAAAAGAAATTTTTAATTGTTGTATTTATAAAGAAAAGAAATAGAACAAATATTTATTTATTATAAAAAATAAACAAAAAGCAAAAAATGACGAAAAACCGTTTTTAATCATGTATCTTTACTCATGTACTTTATTATTTGAAATTATATATCTATTAAAAGACTCATTTATGAACAAACAAATACAGGCGTAGAGAAAATCAAATTTTTAATCTTGTAAATATTAATACACTAATATATTATAATCACTGATTTTTATATCACTAGAAATTCTTTATATATATATTTATGTCACTAACACATGACAATGCAAGATATACTTCAAAACAATTAAAACCTCGAAGATATAATAATGTGTTCGACCTATTTGTTTGTTTATATTTTTCTAATAATTTTTAAATAATTTTTTGAAGAATTTACGGTTATTCCTTGATCAGCTATTTACTATTTTTATTTAACAAATTATTCAGCGATATTTGATATTGTCAATTTTTAAAGATTATAAAATATTAAACAGAATATTGTCGCATTATATGTATTATTTTCTTGATAAAATTTAAGACAAAGTGTACTTTTTACTTTATTGTTTTAATCAAAATTGTGGAAAAGTTTTAAAAATATTACAATATATATTAAATATAGCAAAAAATATATGCATAACATATAAATTCCACATAATTTATCTATTCTTACAGGATTCTTTTTAATCTGTGTCTTATTTGTACGTACCTGCTGATTTTTTGTTCGTATAACTCGTTTAACTCTAGATTTTCCTTGTTACCTCTTTTACTTGAAGAATTTATTCGAATGTGTTTAGATTTTGCTCTTATGAATCAGAAATGTGCACAGATACTTATTGTTAAAAGATAATCGTGACAAGAATTTATTTTGTAATTCCTATTAATCTCGTTTCTTTTTAACGGAACGACGTTAAAGCGTGTATGTATAATCGCTTTTGATTTTACTAATACGAACTTTACTGGTCTGTACTGTGTATATATTTAATATATGTCTTATCGGGACGTATTCCCAAATAAACATTAAATATTGTTTATATATATGTGTGTGTTTTCATGAGTTACTTCGCAGAAACCGGGCCAGTTTATAAATTTGAATGTCTTATGATTAGCCAGCAATAATTATATCTCTTCTCTATTAGAAGGAGAAATTATAAAAATTGTTCTTACGTTAAAATTGCTTGTCAGAATTAATCATACAATATCAGTTTTAATTCATAATTAATATAAAAACGATCGTTGCATATATAGTCGGTAATGAAAAATGCACATTTTAACACGCATAGTACATCGAAATACATCAATAATTTCAGTACCTGCTTTTATCTGAATTGTAAACGTAAATCATGAGTAAGATTGTATTTTGAACAAAAATAATTATTGAGATTTGTCGTGCACGCGTAGAAAATTGTTTCTTTGTCGGAAACTTTCGAAATATTTGTATATATTGCACATATGGATATTTTTATTAAAATTGAATAAACGTTGTAAATGTATAATGATCTAATTATTTCATATTTATACAATCACAAGGTTTTCCAGAGAAAAGATCATGATAACAAATGACAAAATAACAATAATCGATTTATAATACGATATAAAAGTAACCAAAAATATTTTATTTCAATATCTAGATAGTACATTATCTGCAGATTAATTTTACATCAAAACATACCAACTTACATATTCTTCCGTTTAATATACATAATAACAAAAAGTGTCGTCTACGAAAACATAACGTCGACTATTAATACTTTAGAATCAGGCAAAAATACATTGTTTATATATATTTTAATAATGCAAAAATTAAAAAACATGACAAAATGTAAGTTATAGCAGTAAATTATATCATTATAAGAAATATTTAATTATGGCCGCAAGTGATTAAAACATAATAAAATAAACAGCGCGTATTTTAATAATTCGATATACATTAATGAAATTGTCATAGGTTTGAAAATAAGAAAGACTGAAAAGAATCATATATACTAAAGTTTTATTATCTAAATGAAAACTTCAAAATTTCCAAAAATTAATTATCTTTTTTTGGTACTAAAACTTATAAAGAATAAGAGAATGCGTCCAAAAATATGGGAGAACATGAATCAAATAATTATCTGTTCGATAATAAACATTGTTTAAGAAGAAGTGTCAATATCTAATAGCATGTAAATCACGACAGTAAAATATAAAAAATTAGATAAACCTGAATAGAAAATGGAACAACGCGTTTAAAAATAATTCTGCTGTTACTACTCAGAAAATTTCGCATGGATATGTGAATAAATACAACTGTTATTATTTATTTCACAATTCTAATTAATATCACACACTGATCAAAATAATGTTACAGCATAATCGAAATGGATTCTGTGCTATCTGTGGTGGACGAATATATTAATTGGTAATAGTAGAAACTATTTAAGTGCATCTGACACTCTTAATTGAACAAATATGCAACCGTTGATTATTGTGCACGAGATGATGAATAATGCAACTTTTGCTGTGGAACGCTTCTCAAAGCTATCACAGGCTTCCGGGTGGAATGCTAGGACACATGCTTGTCATCTTCTTGCGGAAACCTCGGCCGGACAGGTCGCAATGTTGCGACAAAACTTGAACATTATAGAACCAATGTATATGCAGAAACTCTTGTCGATTGAAGGATTTGCACGTGTAGGATCTTTTGCAGGTGTCTTTTTTCGTTGATACTCTTTAAAGAAAGTGGTGGCTGCTCACATCGCCAACTAAATTCCTGACGCCGTCGTGATCATTCTGCATTTATTGCGGATGCTGATCGAAAGTTCTTATCAAACAGAACAGTTGTACCTATAAGATTGCGCGCCAATGTGAGTATTGTGGTGAATAAGCAGATTATACTATAAATAGAGAAAATATTCTCTCATTCTTTACTTACAAAAGAATAGCTGCATGTGTTCTCCGTTATGTTCGAGTTAATTAAACATGTTGTACTTTCGATATTTATTTACTCTGTCTTATATTTCGATAATACATTGTGCGGTTCTTCAAAAATTTTTATTCTTTTTCAGAACTATTCGGTTGGGTATTCTATTAGTTTTAATTAAATGATTTTTATTATAAAGGATGAGTATTGAGATAAATATTTTATTTAAATACAATAAAATATTATTGCTTCTTCAGAGAGTTTGTATAAAATTTTAGAGACCTTTTATATGTATAATATAATATATGTACAAAAGATAAAATTATAATAATTATTATATAATTATTATCAATTATAGAATATTTCAATTTTTCAAAGAAATTTGTTATATAATTTCGCAACAATTGTTGACACATATGGTTTGACATTTCGCGATAATTCATCGGAAAGTCACGATTTATATTCAAAATTGTATTCTTTATTGTAGATCTATATCTTTATTCTCACAGTTTGATTATTTAGTACATATATAATTAAAAAAATGTAAAACAGATCTTCAAAAATATATTGTATTATCTTTTTAAAGCAATGTTATATGGAGATACTAATTTTATCAGTTATAAATCTCTATATAATTTTGCACATAGAGTAGATGATAATAAATAATCAAAATATTGAAATTTTAAAATTATAAAAAAATGGATAGAAAAAAATAATACATATCGCGATTAATAAGTAATCGATTATAATATTTACGATTTTAGTATATGGTCTTATTTCAGATGGAGGCATTTTTGAGATTTTATAGTTATCATAATTTTTTTAAACGTTTTATGTTCTATTCTGACAAAAATATGAAACATCTTGAAATTTACTTTTCGATATTATTTTATCTTAATAAATTTCTGCACAAAATAATGTGGATAATTTGATTGGTATAAGAAAAACACTCCAGTGATTTAAAAAAATTGCAATTTATAGCAATATGCAACTACATACATTTTTCTTAAATAATGACTTGTTTATACTAATTGAATTATATTACTATTTAGTGCAGAAAATTATTAAGATAAAATTATCGAAAGATGAGTATATGACAAGAAATTACACAATATTTATTGTGAAAATGTTTTTTGAAATAAATAATAAAAATGTTAACAAATAATAAGATGCAATTTAATTCGACCAAAAACTGACTATTCATTTATTGAAAATGAGTACACACTATGTTTCGACCCTATGTTTCAATTTTATTTGTTTGTCTTTTTATGTAGAACATTTCAGCGATCTCTCTTTTTCGTCTATTTTTCTCGGTATGTAAAATACATGGCTCAAGCCATCGGAAGTCATGATTGCATTCGGTTCTATGTTTGCTGACCACCGAGTGGCTTGTTTCATGTCTTTTTATATTATTCTGATGTTAACTGACTTGACATCAGTCAAGTACTAAGTTCAACAACAATCAGAGGCAATGTCATCTCAATTTATTCGGAACAATTGTAAGCAACAAGTAATTAATTTTTAATTTTTAATTTTTACATATACATAAGTGGATTTCTATTTTATAATATAAAATTTCTTTTTAAATTCAGTTTATAATAACAAATATTAAATAACTTGGAGGAGATGGACACGATCATTGCCAGACTGATAGCCTTTCGTCGACTAACGATGAGTGATTGGTTTGGACGAATATTTAAGTGCCACTCCGAGATTTTAATAATTTTAAAATATTTATGGATTATATATATATAACCGGATGAATTATTTTAATTCGATTTTTGCTTCTAACTGGGACTTTTCGTGTTGAACTATTTTTAATTATTTCAATTTATTGTTAACGTATTTCGCCTTTTAATTTTGACATAATTATCTAATTTATTTTGACTATTGTATTGCGACTTTTTATTAGAATTTTTCTATTATTGTTTTATTGCGCACTAAAGAAGACTAAGTATAGTTCGAAACGTTTGTAATTAAGAATATTAGAATTTGTATTGTAATTGGTTTTTTTAAATTAAAATTTTTCCAAGTTTAAAATAATTTTTTATTGCTCGTTTCACATGGCCTCGTAATATTTAGCAAGTTATCATTGTATTCTGATGTTCTTTTACTCTAGTAATCAAATGTTTTTTTGTTTGTCCTATATACGACGCGTCACAATCATTACATTCTAGTCTGTATACTACATTCGTTTTGTTCATCCTTGTTTTGTTGACCTACACATCATATTTATCATGATGACACCTACAGAGAATCAGTCAGTCTTCCGTGGTCTTTCGAATCACGTCGTGGTAGATATAATACTTTTAATAAAGTGTGTGTGAATATATTATATTCTTTCAACATTGCGTGCTGCTAGTATTAATTTGTTGCAGTTAATTTTTAACAATATACTTTTGTGTGTGTGCAGTTAACATACTGTTAATATAAGGTAAGTCAGAACATGTTAAACATATAAAAAATATGTGTATTTGTCCACAAATACAAAAAAAATTTAATCATACAGTATATAACGAAATTTTAAAGAATTTATCAACATATAAGTATAAAGAGAATAATTTTATTCAAAATTATCTTTAAATTTTAATCCAGAGATATAATTTTAAATAAGATCGATAATATAATATTTTACGAATTGTAATGTTGAGATAATCTTGGATCCATAAAAGTTTGAAATCGAATAAATTATTTTTTAAACTTAAAAATAATACAATTTACATAACAGAGAATAAATATTATAATAGGCACTTTTAATTGTCCTTTCATTACTAGATTATTAAAATTTTGTTTTCTAAAATTTGTCGTACATTTTACTTTTTATAAAAAAGTATCTGTGTATATTTTATTATTTCAAATGCTTTTGAAGTTGTGTTGATATTGAGTATTAGCTCAAGAAATAAGTATCAAATATTAATTTTTGTTGATGAACATTATATATATATATATATATATATATATATATATATAGGTATATATATAATTAAGAAAAATAAAAATATAAGACAATTGTATTCAAAATATCCTCTTATAAGAGGTATTATAAAAGTTTAAAAAAATTAATTTTGTTAAGTGAGAAATATATATAAATATAACACTTAAAAAAAGTAGAATTATATTAGTCATATAAGTTAGAAATAGACATAATACTAATAATTTTACGTAAAATTTTTTACATTAAATATTTTATACCGGGTGTCCGGTGATAATTGCCTCAGAAATCTCTCATTAATGTGTTAAACGCGAGTCACCGGACACCCTGTATAAAACATTCAAAACGTATGTTAATATTAAAAACGCATAAACAATAATTCATATCAATTTAATAAGGTATTCTATTATAGTTGAAAATTTTCAAATATTTAAGTTAAAAATGATTAAAATTTAATTTTTACTTTTATAATAAAAAATAATAATGTTACATGTACCACACATTGATGGCGAGAATATATAAAAAACTATCTCAATTAGAAGGATTTGGTAAAAAAAAGCATTGATAAAAATAACAAAATAAAATTATGATAAGAAGTTGAGTAAATGTAGTTAAAAATTATATATTAATTATAAATTATAGAGCAAAATACAAGAACATTCTAATTGTCAATCTAATAAAAAAATCCATAATATAGTTCTAGGAATCATTGTATATATATGTATATACCCATACAGCACCGTTAGATTGCAAAAACATTACAACAATCTTTCACCGCAATATTGCAATATTGCAAATTCACTGCAAAATGTTGCTACATCATTGCTGTTGAATTGCAGCAATGTTAAAATGTCCGCTTTTTGGAAGATAATAAAATTATTGATTATCGTCAACATCTTTTATTGTACAATATTGCAAAAAATTATTTTATTACAGTATTATACCCAGCAAATACCAAGTTACAGTTATATAATTGTTAGTTGTAATTTTCCACTCAACAATATAATTGTTATAATACACGTATTATATTTTTGAGTGGGAAATTACAACTAACAATTATATAGCTGTAACTTGGTGTTTGCTGGGTATATGTATATATTGTATATTACAAAATATAAATTATAGAATTTGGATTACATGCAATATTTCCGAAATATTAATGTCATGTTGCTACAAGTGTGCTGGAATTTTGTGCACCTATATCTCTGCAATGTCTTTATAATGTTGCATTGCAACTTGCAACATTGCAACATTGCTGCAATATAATTGCAATAATCTGTGCTGTATGGGTAATATTTATTATCAGGTTTATAATTCATACAATTTAAAATTAATTTTATGTTGGTTTTATTCTCGGTGATTATTCGTTTAGAGTGTCTAACATATAATTTTAGAAAAGGAATAACATAGGTCTTCAAAGGATAATAATAATAAACATGTGCTCTTTCTCTCTCTCTCTTTTCTCTCTCTCTCTCTCTCTCTCTCTCTCTCTCTTTCTCTCTGTCATCGCTGCTCAGTCTTTTTTATCCTTACTGTCTTCTTCTTCTTATTTTGAATAAATACACAGGCTTTAATGTAAAAATAACGGGTCTTTATAAATGTAATTTACTTCAGACAACCAAACTTTATGTTTTATAAATTTTTATACTCTAATAACTTATTTTTAAAATTTTGTAGATTTTAAATGAATATAATTTTTTGACGAGATAATTTTTTGTCAATTTAATTTTGTTATATTGCTGTTAATTACAATATATGTAACATTGAAAAACATAAATACATATATATGTATATATATATATATATATATATATATATATATATATATATATATAAAGAGTCCGGTAATAATCGCGCATATGTGTAGAGGATATTAATTGTATGGTTCTTTAATATTTTGCTATCTTCGTAAAAATTAACGAAAAATTTACTTTTAAAATAAATAAAAAATTAAAAATAAATAAATTTTCTTTTTAATATCACACTATGTTTACATATAACCGTTATAATAAATATATATTTAGAATATATCTAATTTATATATAATTTTGATGTAAATTGTAGGACCCTTTATACTGCGCATGATGCAACATGTCTTTACAGAAGAAATATTTTGAAAAAACGTTCGCTTCTCATATACAAATAACACGTGAGTAAGACAATACAGAATCTAATATAAAAAAATGAAATTATATAAATCATAAATAATTTATAATAATACAAATTTATACAAATTTATATAATATCCCTTATTATTTCGCTTCTTTTGATATTATTTCATAGTGTTTTTTTTTAGTTTTACAATTCCGCTATTTTCCTAGATCTGCAACTATAAATTTACTCTTACTTTCATTACTTTTACTATGAAAACCGCTTTTGTTGAAATAAATTGTTGTTTTATATTTTTGTTTAATAATTTACTATTTTTTAAAATAATTTTTCAATTAATTTTTATTCTTTTTATTATTTTCTTTATTTCTTCATATCGTCAATAATTCTTATAATATCCGTTTTCTTTTATATATATCAAATTATTATTTAATATTATAAAAATTTATTATTAGTTACATATATTATATATATGTGTGTCGAAAAATATACTTTATACAATATTTACAGAATTTGAAAGGAGCGTTGCGTCGTAAGTATATGGTCTTATTTCAAATAGATGCATTTTTGAGATTTTATAGTTATCATAATTTTTTTAAACGTTTTATGTTTTATTCTGACAAAAATTATCGAAAGATGAATATATAACAAATTGATTAATATAAGAAAAACATTCCAGTGATTTAAAAAATTGCAATTTATAGCAATGTGCAACTACATACATTTATTTTAAATAATGACATATTTATACTAATTTAATTATTAAAATAAAATTATCAAGGGATGAGTATATGACGAAAAATTATACAACATTTTTCGCAAATATCTTTTTTGAAATAAGTCATATAAATGTGTATAAATAACGCCTATTTATTTGATTAATTGGGCAAAATTTAAATGTGCTCAATTAAAACAACAATTACTCAAAAATGTCGCCACACACACAAATATATATGGAAATATATATACATATAACGACCTCAGAAATTTTGTTGACCAAACACATTATATTTATCATGAAGACACGTACAGAGAATCAGTCAGTCTTTCGTGGTCTTTCGAACCACGTGGTGGTGAAGATATAATACTTTTAATAAAGTGTGTGAATATATTATATTCTTCCAACATTGAATACTTCTAAAGCATTATTTGCTGTAGTTCATTTTTAAAACGATATATAATTTTCCAATTAACATTCTGTTTCGAAATATTCGGTAAGTCAGAAGAACTTTCATACATATAAAACATGTGTCTACAAATGCAAAAAATTTAATTATACGGTAGGACGGAATTTTATAGAATTTCCAACATATGTATAAGAATGAAGAGAATAGTTTTATTTAAAATTATTTGTAAATTTTAATCCAGAGATAAATTTAAAATAATATTGATCGTATAATATTTTACGAATTGTATGTTGTTTGGCGAATTATTAGTTTTATTAGCTGAAATGTTGTAATAAATTTAGAGACGTTATATTATCGTTCACTTTAATTCTGCATTTAAAATATTATATAAATGACTTGCAATATAATTCTATTTGTCCTTCTTCAGCGAGTTCGCTGAGTGACAAATTATCGATTCTCCGGTCATCTATGCCTATATCGATTAAACTGTCCGTTGTTATAATTTGTTTGTTTTGATACTTTGCCTTTCGTTATTTGTTCCTTATGATTGTTTCACTCGTTGTTATATATATATATATATATATATATATATAATTATGTTGAGTGAGAAATAAATATAAAGACAACATTTAAAAATAAGTATAATTATATTAGTCATATAAATTAGAAGTAGACATAATACTACTAATTTTACGTAAAATTTTTTACATTAAATATTTTATATAAAACATTCATAACGCATGTTAATATTAGAAACGCATAATTCATATTAATTTAATAAGATATTCCATTACAGTTGAAACGTTTCAAATATTTAAGTTAAAAATTATTAAAATTTAATTTTTACTTTTATAATCAAAAATAATAATGTTACATATACATTGATGGTGAGAATATATAAAAAACTATCTCAATTAAAAAGATTAGGTAAAAAAAATTGATAAAGATTATAGCTTTCATTTATTACTTTATTTGTCCTCTTAGGGATTAAAGACGCTTTTAAGGAGCGTACCCGAACCTTACACACTTCTTACAATTTTAACTTACAACTACTCTTAAATCTACTCTTACATTTAATTTACAATTACCTTAATTCTAACTTAATCTATCTATCTATCTAACTAATTAAGAGAGAGAAAGAGTCGTTCCTAACTATTTCGAAAAAATATAAAAACTATATTTAATTTCTTTATTTATCTTTTGTTTACAGTGTGCATTACAGATCTAAAGTAAATATTCTTTTTCCGACATGATATTTCTAAAACTATTATTAAGTAGCGGACTAATGTTTATCGCTGAGACGACTTTCGTTCTTCATGAATCATCTTTATGCTATCAACCATCAAAATATATAAAACCAATCCATTACGATATCAAGCTTATATCATATATTGAAGGAAATATTTTCTATGGAGAATACAATATCAGCATAAGCATTCTTAACAAAACGAAAGACATATTTTTACATTCAGAAAATTTATATATTAAAAATCTAGTTATATCTATATATGTAAAAAAATATTATAAAGATGCAGTTTATGAATGGACACACAATATTACAGAAGAAAAAATTATTATTCGGTTTTCGCATGAGTTATCACCAGGAAATTACCTTTTAAATATAAAATATCATGGCATTGCTGATGAAGTTTTTAGAATTTTCAACGTGAAAAAAGAACTTGCGTAAGTAAATAATATATATATATATATATATATATGTTTATTAGAAAAATACAGTATGCAATTACATAAAACCTTATAATTAATATATATTATTTATGTATTAAATATTTAAAAAATTATTATATATATTATAAAATTTAAATATAAAGACGATTATTCTTTATGTTTAGTACATATTATTATATATTACATTTATACTATTTTTAAATCCCAATATTTTTATGCTTGCTAAAAATGTTTCATTAATTTATGTTCTTTCAAATATATAGTTTCGTAGGTGTTACTCATTTCCATATAATAGGCGCTCGACAATTGTCTTCATGTTGGGGTCAACAAAATTTATTGTTAGAAGCAACCTTTAACATATCTATAGGATGTAATCGATGCACGGCTTTGTCAAATATGCCATTGCAAAATACAGAAAAAAATAAGCACAATATGTTGTGGACACACTTTGATACCACACCCGCAATGTCGCCGTATCTTGCAACAATAATTATATCCAATTACTTATTACGTGTTGATAATAATACTCAAAATATTCAAATGTGGTGTCGAAACGAAATTGTATTTCACATGGAATTTGCAAAGGATGTAGCTGAAAATATCACGTTGTTCTATAAAAATAAATGGAAACAACGTTCGAACAATATTTCGAAGATAACTCATGTTGCAATTCCAAATTTCCCTGATAATGGCATAATAGTTTTCGGACTTGTTCTGTATAAGTGAGTACAAGTGCTTTACATTAAAAATAATATTATATTAGTATGCAGAATTAAAAAATTTAAAAACATGTATATTTTCTGTTTCTATAAACGTGCGAAAGTTTAAGCAATTGTAAAAACAAACAATTTTAAGTAGTAAGAATTAAGTTTATTTGTATTATAATTCAAAAAGTTGAAATTTATTGTTTTAATATACATATATAAAGGGAAAAGTTTTTATGCCATATCGTATCGCCTAAAGTATGTGTTGAAATAATAATAAAAGAAGTGACATTTTTTTATTCATTTAAAACTATAGTTCTTCATCAATAATATATGCATTAACGCAAAATCATTGTTTCATACTTAAATTAAAAATTTTTTAAATATTATTTGGTACGATTTACAATACTACTGATTTACTAAATTGTACCATGAATTTGTAAATCTTACATCTAACAATAAAATTAAAAAATAGTAACAAAAATAAAGTTTTGGTTTCTGTAAACGTTCTCAGGTTTGACATTTAAATATAACTTTCAGCGAAAACAATATCATCTACGATGAAAATTTATATCCTGATGCTCACAAAATCGAAGTAGCTCAATTAGTAGGATATAAAGTGGCACAGCAATGGTTTTATAATCTGAATAATCCGTTTCGATCGGCTTGTTGGTTTGAAAAAGCTCTTACTACATTGCTTGCAACGTATGCTGTCAATGAGGTTATTCTAAATATTTTCAACGCTATCACGCTCCCACTTTCTCAAAATGCATTCTCAAAATCCCAATTTCTAAAATGCATAAATTTTGGCTAAATTATTTTAAAAACATTTAGCAATAATACATATGTATACAATATTGAACTGTTTTTTAAAAATAATTTCTTAAATATTTACATTCATATAAATATAATGTGAACAATGTAAAGTATAAAAAAGTTTTTTTTGAACACCACCACTTTATCTGATATTTTTAAATATTTTAGATTTTATTATTATATTTATTCGTATGTGTATTTCAAAATAAAAAAAAGAAAGTGTTCTTTTTTAACATAGAAGAACCGCTAATGATATTAGTATTTATTTCTAATGCAAGTATTTTCAGAGCGGTTATATCGATATATTAATAATTTTTGTTTTACAGATTTATCCAGATAATCGAATAATAAATTTATTTGTTGTTCAAAATCAACATACTTCTTTTTATTTGGATGGTGATTATCGTATGTGGAATTCTACTTCAGAAGATGACAGTTTATTGAAAATTCGCGAATCCATCAGAGGTATATAACGTAATATAATAAAATAATCCGCGTAAATTTTGAACTATTAATATTATAAAAATACGTTTAAAATTATAAGATAATTAATTCTTCATCTAGATTTTATTACAAAAATAATGTTATTAGAGTACACACACACACACACGCGCATATTTATGTACATTTTATAATTAATTTAAGGTATTTACATATACGAATATATATATATATATATATATATATATATATATATACTATACATATAATGCTCTTTTAATATTTTGCTATCTTCGTAAAAATTAACATAAAATTTACTTTAAAATAAATAAAAAATTAAAAATAAATAAATTTTCTCTTTAATATCATTATGTTCACATATAGCCGTTATAATAAATATATATTTAGAATATATCTAAATTATATATAATTTTGATGTATATTGTAGGACCCTTTATACTGCGCATGATGCAATACGCCTTTACCGAAGAAATATTTTGGAAAAACGTTCGCTCATATCAAGAGACACGGTAGTGTCTCGCGACCAGTTAAGGGCGTAGCGGAGACACCGTGTATCTTAACGCGAGTCGGACATTTGAGTCTTTATAATATTTCGAATCCTCAATAATGGCTGAAGCAATCGAGTTTATACTAGACTTAATCGATAGATTGAGTTCGAATTATATAATAAAAGTGTCTTTATTTCTGCTCTACGTGATTTGTAAGCAGAGATATATAAATGCAAAGTCGAAATATGAAAAATTTCTATTAAGAAACGTCCCCGTCATCATTATCATCATTATCATCATTATCATCATCATTATCATCATCGACCACGCATACATAGTAGTATCGTGCTACACGTATTCACACGTATACAACACATGCGCACACATATATCACACGTACACAACACATGCAAGATGCATGTAGTGGTAATTTTGTCCATCTCGCACGTTTTACAACAGATGGCGATAGTGGCGCTCCGCCATATCGGCAGCGTGCGGGGTTATGTTGGCTAACTCTCTCTCTCTCTCTCTCTCTCTCTCTCTCTCTCTCTCTCTCTCTCTCTCTCTCTCTCTCTCTCTCTCTCTCTCTCTCTCACACACACACGCACACACACACACACTCTCTCATTCTCACTCACTCACTCACTGTTCGTCTTGTGTACTTATTTAGTACATTCATGATTAAACATCTATATGCATTAATGTGAAATTTACTTACAATTAGTTTACTTGAAATATTCAATCTCTAAAGTGTTTATCTTATAAGATAGACAAAAAAATCTGAGTAAATAATAAGAAAAAAAAACAAGGATTATTATTGTCATAATTTTTTATCAATTAAGTACTCTCAACTATCCAATAATTAAATAAATACGTACAAATGTGCGCGCGTGTACACACATACACATATTGATATTAAAGAGATTGAAGGAGAGGAAGGAGAAGATAAAAATTTAAATATTCACATATATTTTCAAATATTATATATGAATTTATAGTTTACATATCTAATTAATAATGAATTTCTAATTATATTAAACATATCAAAATAAAGACATACATGTATTTATCAAATGAATAAAATTATTGAATACAGACTTAAAAAATTTATTAAACATAGACTTAAAAAATTAATTAATTAAACATATTCCAAATTTAGAAAAAATAAACTTTATTTATATATGCAACAGCTTTTTAAACTAAATTTTTAAATTCTATTTTATATTAGACAATTATCTCAATCAACATCTACGTCCACATTAGCTGCACTGCAGACTACCTCTACAGCCACATTATCTGCTCCGCGGATATAGCGTTATGCCAATACGATACATTACATGTACTTACTTACTTGCCTTTACTGTACCAACTCTTGTTCTTTCCACGTAATCATGTTTTTACAGTTATCGTTTGCTGTATATCTTCCAGCAAACTTTATTTCGTGTGAAGTGTATTTAATTAATTAAATCTCTGCGAAAGATTGAGAAGATGAAGGGATAATTCAAACTATGAAGACATGGTTACATGGAAAAGACAAGAGTTGATACAATAATAAAGACATACATGTATTTGTATCCTGCTGGCATAAGGTTATAGAAGTTGATTGAGATTGAAAAATAATAATGAAAATAATAAAAAAAATAAAGACACATGTATTTGTATCGTGCTGGCATAAAGTTATAAAAGTTGATTGAGATTGAAAAATAATAATAAAAATAATTAAAAAAAGGAAATATTCAATCATCATTTAAAAGCATATTTGAAATCTGTAGAATAAACAGTTTTTGCAAAAAATGTGGAGCATTTGAGCTCTAGTAAGTCTAAAAATAAATGTAAACATCAATTAATAATAACTGATGTTATATATATATTATATATATAAACCAATTTGTTGCAATATTCACTATAAAAGGTTGTAAGGGTAAGATGGCTAAAAGTGAATAATTTAAAAGATAGTTAACATAATTTTACATAAACTGAAATATTTCATAAAATAAAATATTTGTAATATTTCGAAGTTTATGTAAGATTATGTAAAAAATATACCTTTACAACTTTTTATAGTAAATATTGCGAGGAATCGATTTATATGAGAAAAATTAAGGTAATTCTATTTTGAAAATATAAGTGACCTTTAAATAACCTTGAAAATCGCCGTTTAGGAAAAAGTCTGTGTCAACTTTTTCTTTTTCGAAATCCTGCAACTTTTATCTAAATTTAATAGAAAATGTATAAAAAATGCTCGACATTAGTACACACACACACACACACACACACACACATATGGGTAAATTTATATAAATAGGGTGCTTTAGGAGGAATGATCAGGATTCTAGGATATGATTGTACACATCATTTTAAGCAAAGAAGTTTAGATAAACATGTTTAATAATTGTTCTATTCCGGTCATAAAAATATACAAAAATGAATGATATAATCTCTAAAAACTCACCTTTAAAAAAAGGTAAAAAAAGGCGACCAGTTAAGGGCACGCCATTAACAAAAATTATCCATTGCAAACCCATGTAGAATCCTATCCTATTGCAAACCCATGTAGAATCCTATGAAAAATTAATCATTGCAAACCCATGTAGAATCCTAGGCAAAATTAACCATTGCAAACCCATGTAGAATCGTACCCATTGCAAACCTATGTAGAATCCTATGAAAAATTAACCATTGCAAACTCATGTAGAATCCTATGAAAAATTAACCATTGCAAACCCATGTAGAATTGTATTAAAAATTATCCATTGCAAACTTATGTAGAATCCTACATTGCAAACCCATGTACAATAGAATTGTATGAAAAATTATCGATTATAAACCCATGTACAATCGTAACAAAAGTAATGAAATATAATAAAAAAAAAATTGCGCCAAGTGAAAGTAGAAACTTGTACCAGTGGAAAATTAAAGTTGCAGACATATATAGAGTCGTATAATGAATCAGTAAAAATTTAAATTTGCAAATGTAGAATCGTACCATAAAAAAACTTATCTTTTAAAAAAAAAGATAAACAAGATGCCAAGTCCATGCGCCATGTGAAAAAGAAATAAAAAAATTTTAGTTAAAAAAACTGGGAGCGCTGCTAAATAATATTCTAACAATATTAAAATTAAATTGTTACTTTTAAACTCATTACAGTTAAAATATGTTTTGTGTTTAAATTAATTAATGTTACTTTAAGGTGCATTGTAATTTTGAAACTTAGCAGCGCGCCCAGTTTTTTTAACTAAAATTTTTTTATTTCTTTTTCACATGGCGCATGGACTTGGCATCTTGTTTATCTTTTTTTTTAAAAGATAAGTTTTTTTATGGTACGATTCTACATTTGCAAATTTAAATTTTTACTGATTCATTATACGACTCTATATATGTCTGCAACTTTAATTTTCCACTGGTACAAGTTTCTACTTTCACTTGGCGCAATTTTTTTTTTATTTCATTACTTTTGTTACGATTGTACATGGGTTTATAATCGATAATTTTTCATACAATTCTATTGTACATGGGTTTGCAATGTAGGATTCTACATAAGTTTGCAATGGATAATTTTTAATACAATTCTACATGGGTTTGCAATGGTTAATTTTTCATAGGATTCTACATGGGTTTGCAATGGTTAATTTTTGTTAATGGCGTGCAACTGGTCGCCTTTTTTACCTTTTTTAAAGGTGAGTTTTTATCAAATAGCACATGGGTAAGACATACAGAATGTAAATAAATAAATAAACTTATATAAATCTTAAATAATTTATTATAATACAAGTTTTATAGATGTCCCTTATTATTTGGCTTCTTTTGATATTATTTCATATTGTGTTTTTTTTTATACAATTCTGGTGTTTTCTTAGATCTGCGACTATTGATTTACTTTCGTTACTTTTACCATAAAAATTGCTTTTGTTAAAACAAATTGTTGTTTCTTCATTTTTTCATATATAATAACTGTTGTTTTTTTGTTTCATAATTTATTATTTTCAAAATAATTTTCAAATTAATTTTTATTCTTTTTATTATGTCCTTAATTTCTTTATATCGTCTATAATTCTTATATCTGATTTTTAAATTGCATTTTTGTGCTACATTTGTTTTAATCTTATTTTAAATGTATCTAACACGTATATCTTTTTTCCATTACTTTCTTTATTCAATTCAATTCTTTATTCGTCCCCTAAGGGATTGAAGGCGCTTTTGAAGGAGCGTTCCCCAACCTTACAAAACTCTTACAATCATACTTATATCTACTCTTATCTCTACTCTTACATCTAATTTACAAATAACTTAATTCTACCTTAACCTACTTATCTACTACTTTAGAGAGAGAAAGAGCCGTCCCTACCTATCGCTTCGCTTCGGCTTCCGTTCCCCATACATTCTCCACCACCTCATTCATACCTCACTCATTCTCCTCCTCATACTTCCTTCCTCCTTTTCCCCTCCCTCCCCCTTTTCTTCCGTTCCCCCCCTCTTCCCTCTTTTTCTCTATTTCTCTCATCCATCCTTCCCCTTCTCCTCCTTCCTGCAATATTCCCTTCATTCTTTCCCACCAGTTTCCCTTCTCCCCTTCTCCCCCACATTCTCCTATCACATGCTCCCATGTTTCATCTTCTATCCCGCATAACCTACATCTTCTTTCCTCTCTCTTCTTCCCAGTATCTCGCCCCTCTCATCTCATTGTTCATTCTGAACCTTACTATCCTTCTCCATCTACTTTCCCCCCATCCCTTTCTCAGGTATTCCGGTAAACCCTCCTCCTTCCATTCCCCATACCATCTATTATATCTCGACTCTCTTATCCTCTCCCATCTTTCCTCCTTTTGCCTTTCCCTGTCTTTCTGTTCCCATCCCTCATATACTTCCTCTCCCCTTTCCCCTTTTTTCCTCCATCTCTTCCCTTCTATTCCTCTTTCTTCCCAGAATTTCTCCCTCTCTTCCTCCCACATCGTTCTTTTCCTTTCCTCCTCTTATCCTCTCTTTCATATCCTCAAAACATTTCCTCGCTAAACTTCCTCCCCTTC